TGCCTCCTCCTGGCCACCTATAGACTCGACTGCTTTTTTCTTCCAGTACTCGTAACCAGCGAATTTTGCGCCTCCTTGTATAAGATAACCAACTTGCAGTTGGGCCGAAACCTGTGAGGAGTGCTCTGGGACCTTCTGTCGCAATGACATAGCGCGTTCCAGTCAACATGCTCAGCTTCTTGTATGCAGGATCAATTTGAATTCGCGTTTTCACGACGTCGACGGCTGCACGAGTGAACGGCGGGTCAAAAGATAAGCACAAAAGAAAACTAGGCTGAAAACAATGCGCCTCACGCGTCATTGCACCGTGGGTGACCCTTCATCTGTATTAATGCGTGGTCTTTGTGGAACCGTTGAGGAGACTTACGTGCAACATAGTGCTCCTGACATGGATACTTTCAGAATTGCATATTGGGAGATAGTCCTTATCAGACATACCTGCGAGGAAGAAGGAAGAGTAATCTTTTGAGGTGAACTGGGGATTGCAGCAGCCTGACGGGCTTGTATTGCTTTGCTCGTCATCACGTCTAAGGTGGAGTAGGTAAGTAGTGACTGGACACGTTTTATACTATACAGCCGCTGGCGTTGCAGTGCAAGTACTATACTTGCCACCCACTAACTGCGATGATGACGTCAACATTTGTTTTAATTAGTACCCGGTGTCTTCATGAATCGTGTCCTCCCTCAATAGCTCGATCATCTCGAGCGAGCCTCTCGTAGCCAGATCTTGAAGGAAGACAGTCAACCGTTCTTCTCACCGTTATTGCGGTTTAAAAACATGATCAAGTTGCCTCTGGTTGAATCCAAAAAGTGTCGAGCCTAATTAATCTGGCTCGCTTCTATCATTGATACTTAAACCAAGTGATAGTGATTTCTAGCCAGCCTCCTCTCGATCATATCTCATCATGGCACCCGTCACACAGATCATGTACTTTAAGACCTCTTTGTCCTATCTCCAGGATCCTGCTTGGTTAATTTCTGAGCTTGCGACCCAGAGTTCAGTAGCCAAAATCAAAGGGCTTTCTAAGTGAGTCACTGAAATCATCCTCTAAGCATGCTAACTTATAGTTGATCGATCAAGGGCATACCTTGGTTTCGAGACTGAGGATCTGAGCAATGCATTCTGGGTCTTCGTAAGTTGAGTTTGCGACATACTAAGTCTAATCACGTTGCACTACTTGCAGAGTGGATTTCCAAGTCTGCACATGACACATATCATCAGACAGACACTTTCAAGGCTACACAATCAGCTGCTCGGCAAATCATTGCGAGCAAATCTACTACCCACACATTTGCCGGGTTCTCCAACACTAGTCGGATCTTTTCCGCTCCAGTGACGGAATTTGTCACTTTCACTCTCAAGAGAGGTGTCAGCATGAACGTGCTTCAGCCCCTCATCAAACGGCTTCAGGTCAAGCTGTAAGGAACACCCAAGTTCTACGGCTCGAGCTGGGCACCTGTTGTTGATAAGCCCAACGTAGTTCACGGCGTGTTAGGATGGGAGTGTGCAGGTAATTCTGACATTGTGTAAGCACGCTGGCTTACCTGAGTTCCCATAATCAGTACATATACTGTCGCTGATGCTGAAAGCTAAGCTTTCAGTATCTCTTTTGGTGTAACGGTTATGCGGGCGGCAGTCTGACCATGTTACACATTGGTTCCTCTGGTTCACCTAGTTAACAGTCACAGGCGCACTGAAATATTGTTAGCTCAGGTCCGCTGAAGGAAATCATCGATGAAGTGAAGAAGGTTGCTAACCTTTGGCTTGTGCACGCGATACTTATTACTGACGCAGTACAAAGTGCGAACTTGATGATGTACGAACCAAACTTTGTCGTTGCTGTAATAGGAAGGTATTTGAAGTCGTGAAATTTGTACAGTCTTGGATATCTTCAAGGAACATTTCGGCAGAGGTTCCTCTGTTTTCGATATGCACTGGCAGTGTTTTACAAGCTTTTAGCCGTGTACCTATAATGGCCCATGGGCCACCCGGAATATTTGAAGTCTTGTATTATTAGTTGTTTGGTTAACTACCTTGCTTGGCAACATTTCTTTCGCCTAATGCCATGGATCATCGACTCATACCGATTATCGGCTGTCTTTCTTTCTAAATGCAACGTCAACCGTAGTGTCTCAGATTTATTTACTTACCGTCTCCAGTGTCCACGTATCATGGACAAGTGACTTATAAGTCGCGAGACTTGCAAACATCGCAAGTTGCAACACACTGGCATTGAGTCCCCCATATCAGACCATGACACCCCTCTGACAAGCACACCGCTAGGTGACTTTTTTGAGCTTGGCAGCCTTGACTCTTCACTGGCAAAAAACACGCGCAGTCGTAAGCGCACAGCGGTCTCGTCGGTTCCCGTGTTAGGGTCTTCCACTAAAACATGTCGAGCAAAAGCCGAGGCCGCAGATCTCGATGTCCGGGACGGAAATGATGACCAGATGATATGTATGTTGCTCCTCCTTCACTGTTTCATTCGTGGACTCACTGGCCCTTTCAGCAGCGGCCAAAGCTCGATGGAATTTTGCTGCCTATGATCACTTCACTACCTTAAATCATTGCTTGAAAGGTGATGACAGTGCTGATTATCTTGAGTTCGTTTTTACGTGCTGCGCTGATCCTGTCAGCCATAGGCTCCATCACCGCAAGCACATGCATCCACAAGGAACGAAAAATCTTAATTGATATTGAGGCATCAAAGCGTGCGTCGAGTGCCATGGTGTCTTATTGTCAGGGACTGATGCCACAGGCACACAATAAACTATCCCTCGATCAGTTTCGAAATATACAGCGGAGGCTCATCGTGCATTTATAGCGGTGTGATGCGCAGTCAATAAACGCCCATTCCACTTGGTCGTTGATCATCTCTACTATGTCGAAGAAGTAAAACTCTTACGCCCTGATGTTAAGGTGCCTTCTCCGCGCAGTCTCACGCGATATCAACACCATTTACTACGAGGCATCTAAATATATCAAGATTCACTTTTCGGTGAGATGTATTGTGAGGCTCGCACTACCACTAGTCACTGCTGATCTCATTGTAGAAACATCTTAGCTCAGTCCACTTTGTTATCGACGGATGGTCAGCACCTTTTGCTTACTCGTACTTTGGCATTGTTATCGTCCGGTATCAATCGACTTTGATTGATTACTTGAACGCATTTTCGTATCTATATTCTCGTTTCAACTGTTCTGCACATTATACACTTGGTCACCAGCGGGTGACACGTATCACCTGCGAGTTGACCCGCACCTGCGATGATCTGACCCGGGTAGGCACGCGGGTAGACTTCCAACCAATAAATTTCGGTACCCGCGGGTTGGGTGCGGTTGTAATCCGAATCGACCCATGTCATGCCAGGTTATACCCTACTTTCATCATGGCGCCCGTCACACAGATCATGTACTTTAAGACCTCTTCATCCTACCTCCAGGATCCTTCACGATTGATTGCTGAGCTTACGACCACAAGTCCAGCAGACACAATTGAAGGGCTTTCTAAGTGAATATTAAAGTCATCCTCGAAGCCGCATGCTGGCTTATCGTTGATCGATTAAAGGGCATACCTTGGTTTCGAGACTGAGGATCCAAGCAATGCATTCTGGGTCTTCGGTAGGTTAAGTTTGCGACATACTAGTCCAATCGTGTTGAACTACTGGCAGAGTGGGCCTCCCTAAATGTGTATCGCACATATCGTCAGACAGACACTTTCAAGGCTACACAAGCAGTTGCTCGACAAGTTTTTGCAAGCACACCTACCAGTGTGTTTGTCAACTTTTCCGATACTAGTCGGATTTTTTCCGCTCCAGTAACGGAATTTGTCACTTTCAGTCTCAAAGAGGGTGTCAGTATGGATAAGCTCCAGCCCCTCGTCACACAGCTTGAGGTTAAGCTTCCAGGAACACCCAAGTTCTACGGCTCGAGCTGGGCACCTGTCGTTGATAAGCCCAACGTAGTTCACGGCGTGTTAGGATGGGAGAGTGTGCAGGTAATTCTAACATTAATTCCTCCGATCACCTACTTATCAGTCACAGGCACACTGGGATGCTGTAAGCTCGGGTCCCCTCAAGGAGATCATCGATGAAGTGAAGAAGGTTGCTGACCTTTGGCTTGTCCACGCTATACTGACGCAATCCCATGCGTAAATATGATGATCGTAGTACGAACCAAATTTTGTTGTTGTTTAGGAAGTTGTAAAATATGTGCAGTCTTGGATATCCCCGAGGAACATTCTGGTAAACGTTCCTCTATTTGACATGCAGTGTTTTACAAGTGAGCCGTGTGCCCATAACCCACCCTTCACTTCACTTGATCGGATTCGACTCTTATGACATATCAAGCTGGCTCTGGTAAGTATGGTTTTCATCAATTCAAAGGCAACCGGATTTACCTCGGCACTGCCTTAACTATTATCCAGACTCCGTGGATCCACTAACGTATGGAGTGGCAGCTAGTGGTGAATTGACGCCGATACTGGATCATGATTCATGAAGTCCTTGCGCATTTGATTGGACCGCAAGCACGGCCTCGCCATGCTGTCTGTCGACAATCTTATGCTATGGTTACTCTCATTGCATCACATTGAATGCTGAGCCTTGTTCCCACTGGCAGAGGAGTTAGACAATTATTTACCGCTTCAGGACGACGTAGGCCGGTTCAAGTAAACAGAGATGCGACCTAGAGGCGAGATGAGTCACCGCCTGCTGCGCCTGCATGCAACCGCGCGGCAAAATCGCACTAATAGCCAAGACAGGCTTGCAAATGCGATTAACGGCTGTGATGCAGTGAGTTCCGAGCCTGTTGAGTTGAAGATAGAAACCCTTTCGTCCACCTCAAGCATACCATCAGCATCGCGGGTGCTTAGGAATGATGGCGCTTTAATATGATTTATGAGGAGATAAATGCATGTTTGGTGAGAGTGCGTCGTGGTGTGTGGCGAGCACGCACAGTCCACGAGTTGCTTATTTGACCTTGTGTGATCCTCGCCACGGATGGAATAAAGGTGGTACACTAGAACTTCAACTCCGCCCAAACGAATACGTACCGTTCACCTTCCTCATATCCACTGTCGCCTTCGTTGCGCATTTCTCCTAACTATGTCTGTCCATCTCATTCCCAACAACGCGTTGGGTTTCAATAGTACGTCTTCTCCCACTTTCTAGGTCAAGCGCCCGTCGAAACAACCATCTTTTTTTTGTTCAGGACCCTTCACGCAGCTCGTCAAGCAAGTTCTAACTATCACAAATAAAAATGCACAACCAGTAGCATTCAAAGTTAAGACTACGGCGCCCAAGGTGAGCTGATATAGAGGAAGATATCTCAGGGACTTATAAATTCCGTAGTTGTACTGTGTACGACCAAACTCTGGCAGGATAGAACCTGGTGAAAGTGTCGATGTCTCTGGTATGTGCCTCGTGTTTAGTCCATTTGCAACTTTGCTTACATCTTCAACAGTAATGTTACAACCGATGAAAGACGAACCACCTTTGTCGTCTAAGTGCAAGGACAAGTTCCTAATCCAAAGTACCCTCATCACACCCGAGAAGGAGACCAGAGATTTACAGGAATTCGTAAGTTTTTCCTCGTGCATATCGTGTTCTCATCTTTATATTGTTCCACAGTGGAACGCGCAAGCGGGCGCTGGAGATGAGTGGAAAGTTTACCAGCAAAAACTCCGTGTCGTATACCTCCCACCCGAAGGACAAACTGTTGAAGAGGAGGATGAGGGACATGTGGAGCCTCCTATGCCTTCCCGCCCTCTTGCAGAACATGTTGGTGGACCATCTGTGAGTGCTTTGACTACCTAGGGGCATTCGAATTACTGAATACGATCGCACTATTCGCAGAACTATGCAACTCTTAAGGATCCGGAGCCACGCCTTACTCCACCCATGCCAGAATTCTCTTACGATGACGCAGTTCAAGCTGCACAACTGGTGCAACCTCAGCGCTCCGTCACGCCACCTGCACCAGAGCGAGAAGTGAACAGTTCTCAAGAGGCTGGTTCTTATCGGGACGAACTCGATTTCCAGAGATCTACCAGTGGGGGAGTTGGCGTTGTCAACGTCAACGTGCATTCGTCTTCACCGCCACCCTCACCTCCAGCTGCACGGGTGCCCTCGATCAACAATGAGTTGGAAGCGAAGTATATCGCAGCTAAGGACGAGATACAACGTCTCCGGGATCTTCTTGCGGCTGTGCCAGACCCCAGCTCTCTGGCGCCAGAGTCTATCGCACCTACCTCCCTCGCTCCCTCAGATTTCCGGAGGAGACATACATCGGCGCTCTCAGACGACGGAGAGACATACGCGGGATCTGACGTCGGTACCATGGTGGAGCATGATAGTGTTATCCACCAGGAAGGCGTTCCACTACAGGTGGTTGTTATTATTGCGCTTGGCGTTTTTATCACAACGTATCTATTTTTCTAAGTAGCCGAGCAGGAACGTGCTCCTTTCATCCCCTTCCTTCGTCGATCCCTCCGGGCTCGTTGAAGCCATTTCGCGCTGCACATGCCACGCATCATATACAATATTTTTTCCGTTGGTGATATGAATGGGGTATTGGGGGGTGTTGTTGCAGTTCTCATGACTTTTCGCATTTATTACCGAGTTACATAGTACGTTAGCATTTTTCTTCTTTGTTGTGTCTGCTTAGTGTTATCGTTCTGTGCATCG